AATGTTCTTAATGATGATTATACAATAAATAGCTCAGGTATAATTAAATAGATTTTTTTAAAAAATCAAAAATGAATGTCAGAGAACATATAATCTAATACTCGCAGTTTAGAGAAAAAAATAATTAAAAAGAAAGGCAGATTGTGTGCAAACAGTGAGAAGATGAGGCTCTTAATTTCCTGGAAAAAAATAACACTTGAAAAAGTACCTCGTTTATTACAAGAAGTAAAAGTGATAATGAAAATAAAAATTGTCAATTACACATAAAGTTGTAAGAATTTCCGTAAGTATGAAGTTAAAAACAAGACAAATAAAACCTCCTTTACAAAAGGAATTATTGCTTTAAACTGGCTTTGCTTATGCCCTTAGATGAAAAGGTTTTTTGAGAGTTTTAAAATAATTTGACTAATGGTGGTGTTTTTCCTAAATCAGAATCATTGTAGAGTCAAAGTCATTTGTAGGCAAGTATTTTTTCTCCTCTGAATGTTCTAGGGATGGGATTATAACCTGTAAAGGAGGTTCATATTAATATTTAAAGGAATTTAGCAACTTCTGCTCATTAATTGTAGAAAATGCCCAAGTGCCTGTGAAAAAAAATGGTAATGGTATTGATATTTCATCCTGAAGGGTCTCAAAACAATTTACAGATTGCTGGTATAACCATCACTGAAATGCACCCAGCTTCGTGGTGGAACATGGCAGCTGTTTAATAGCCCATAGCAAAACTACACAACAGCCGGTTGTGCAGAGAGAGATGAATATGGATCAAATACAAATTGGTGGTGGAGGACTTAGGTGCTGTACTCAAATCAGGCGAGAATGTTGAGTCTGTGTGAAAGCGCGGCGCTCTCTCGGACCGCAGCTCCTAGTACGAGACCTGTGGTGAGCTCATGTGAAAGGCAGGCAGGGGACTGCGTGCCGAAATGTAATCCCTGCTGTATACTGTAAACCAGTGTGCCTGACAAACAGTTTTAATTGTGAATACTTTGTTGTTTGCACATACAGAAGGGCAATTTATTAAAAACAGTTGATGTTAAACTGGGTGTCTTAGGGGGCAGATATGGCAATAGGTTTGGATGGGCGTAGCAAAAGTTGGCTTGACTACTTAATTTTTTTAATTGCTTTTTAAAGAAAACTGAATGCTACTGAAGACTATATTGCCAACAGCTGCACCAGCTGTGGTGGCTGAGGAGTGTTTTTTAATGGATGTAAAGCATTTATTTGTTAGGAAAAAATGTGAACCAACAGATGCAACAGGATGCTACCTGAGTACAATACATTCACGTCACTGTTGACTTGAGCTGAATTTGGGCCTGAGACTGTATGATCTACAGCCCTTGCGCATCCCACTGCAACTCCTTCGTACCATTTTACAAATAATACACAAGGACCTAGGAAGCTTTTTCACGCTAGGCAAGTGTATGGAAGTCCAGCTGCATAATAGCTCTCTGCAACACATGCCCCATTTAAAAGGAGCAAACATGACTTGAACAATTTTTCATGTGCTTTAGTATGCATGTATGTATTTATTTATTTATTTGGATAATTGGGTTTTCCCTCAGCTAAGGAAAATCCAGTGTTGCTGACATTACAATGTGTTTGTGAAGAAAGACTGATATTGCGAACACATGCAAGCAACTGCAAGGTCATTACTTACCCGGCATAATTAGAACATCCATTCCAAAGGGGGAAAACATTTAAAAGATAAAGGGTGCATTTAAAAATGATTCTTCCCAATGCAATTTTTTCATAATTATAGTTTTAACAGCTTATGGTGATGGTAGGAGCAGCTACTTAAGAAAAATTAGAAGCCTCATTCAGGGAAGATGATCCCTCAGGAGACCTTGTGTTATCATTTCTCAAGAGCGGTGAGCAGAACCCCCCGTTCAGAATGGCAGCGAATTGTTTTGATGTATAGGGAGTACGCTTAGCTTGTTATGACCGACCCTGGATATTTTAATTAAAAAACACTCCAAATGTCAAAAATGTATTGTGCACAAGAACATGAGCGTATTCACGCTCCTGAATTGCGAAAGACAAATGCAATTGCAGTTGGGCAGGAGAGAGGCTGTAGGTTGCCTGAATTCCTACGTGACATATCTCAGCATCAAAAATCTTTTAGTGGCACATATGCCTTTTGTAATTCCCAGTGTTTTCTGCAGTTGCCAAAGGGAGGTGGGAAACGAGGAGGCAAAACAAAACAAAAAAACAACCAGCCGCTGCATTTAATTTATGAGCAAGACTATTGTTTTACAAATAACCTTCATGATAAATAAAGTCTCTCGGCAACATTTTCAACTGTGCTTTTATCAAGCCTCTCTGAGCAGCGTGTGTAATGCGCCTGGCAATCGAATCACAGCTGTGTGCCTTGGTGGGGAATCTCTGCGGAGACAACACTTCCTTAATTTAAACAATTGTAGGCTGCAGGAGTTCAAAAATTTCAGCTGACTTTAACTGTCACTAGCCCAAGCACCTTTATCCCCAGGCGAGCAGCAGCAGCTGGATTTCATTTCCTGCTGCCAGACTGTCCGACATCTTTGCTGAACATCCCGGGAACCGAGCGTCTTTACTTTAAGGATTTTATTCAAGGTGACAGCTCCTCACACTTTAGCGTTCAGATCACCTCAAGTAGCTGAGATATCAGTGAAAATGAGAGCGCTTCTACAGCAAACTCCAAATTTAGATTGACTGAGGTTATCCTTAGGCCTCTAGACCCAACCTCCGTGACAGAACAGGCCTGCCAGTAACTTTAAAACTACGGCGGAGTTTGTAATGATGTCTGGGGAGAAATATTCCGCAGGAGCGGCGGAGGATACTATAAGCGATAGGAAATGATGTCAGATTTAGTTAGGGCTGGAGACAGTGTTAGAATATACTTGGCATAATATGGCACCGGTATCTCTGTCAGCATCTCTGTTTTCTGTCACCGCACACAATCCGGGGCCTGTCTGTAGTCCTGACAGTGTCTTTTCAGATCAGGTTATTGCCAACTCGGAGGCTCGCTCGGCGCGGCACCATACAGCCCCCTTTGTTTGAAGTCTGCCCTTTTGTCATTAATGCACTTGATGTCTATTTAAATCTGACGGTGAATGCAGTATCTGTTTTCCTATCAAGAGATCATTGACAATATTAATACCTCGTGTCCTTGCCTCATTTTGTGAGCGCTGACACCTAGCTGCAGTCTCCAGCATTCATCACGCAGCGCTCCCTCCCCAGCTTCTCCGCACAAGCCTTGCTCCCAGTCCTCAAGAAACACTGCAGACCTCGAATGAGACTTTTATCAGTGCCAGGAGAAAGGAGTCTGAAGAACGCCATTAATAAACTGCTCGTATCCTTTGCCTTTAGAGCTCTAAACGGCCTCGTTGCCAGTCTCATGCCTTCCGTGTTTTGTCTCAGAATATCATCGGTTTGGGAGACAAAACCTTGCTTTTCATTAGGTGCTCGTTTAGGAATGGTAATTTCATCCCTCAGATGTGGACTTCGCTCCACCAGGCACTGAAATTACTGAAGATGGCTTCATGGAGGAGCAGAAGGGGATTGAGTACTGCACCACACAGTCCCCATTCATGTTATCCTGAAGAGAAATGTATTTTTCACAACTGACAGACATATCAATTTTATTTTTTTCTGTAGAAATGTGCTACTGTCCCGATGTCCCCAAAAGAAGGAAGAGTGTGGCTTGATACTAATCTTGCAGAGCCTATGCCTTCCAAAGTGTTGGCTGTCTATACTGCCCATGTAAATGTTATAGAAGCATGCATACTAAATTCATACTCTGGGTGGGTGCTATGTTTGCTACGTGGGTGCTGGAAAGCTAAAATCTGCTCTCCTCCATCTTTACCCTTTGTGGAAGGCAGCACGTCTCTCCCTTGGGCTAGGTTATGTTCCTCCTTGTGGGGCTGGGGGTAGGTACTTCGACGATACTTAGTGATCTCTGCGTTAGGCAACTCCAAGATGGAGGAGGTGCTCTCACCTGCCTTCTGTGCATGACTTTAATTTGACTAGTGTGCCTGGGGGCACGAAGAATGACTCTGCTTGTAAAATTTAGCAACTTTGAGGATGCTTGAAGGTGGGATGTGACTGTGAACTTACGCTTCTGCATACCGCTTAGTACCACCAGAGGGGATGCTTGTGAAAACGGGAGTCAGAGCTGCAGAAATGTGTGTTTCACCCACAGCATTTGAGAGTTCCTCAAGCATCTTGACTCCTGTGCATGCTAAGAATAATATGCCTTTTCTCCAGAAAGCAGCATTCAGGCTAATTTTTACAAGCAAGCATTCTCAGTGTACTGGTATTTAGCGTAATTTATAACTGCATCTGCTGTTGCTTAGGTGCCATTGCCTGGAGAGCGACGTTGGAAATATTTTCTGCTAAATGTTTATTTGTGCATCTGGGAAAACCACTGGGCGCCATAGGGCCAAGTTTTCGGAGGCCCAAGCTCCAGCCCGTGTCCATCGGTAACTTCCCATGTGGATTTCCACCAGTCACTTGGGCTCTCCGCCACCGCGGAGCAGGGACAGTGTGAGGTGCTTGCACGATGGCTCTGTGAGTGTTTATGGGATTTTTGCTGGACCTGCATCAAGCTGTAATTGATTCTTTCTTTTTTGTTTTTGATTATAATTAAACCATGGAGTAGGGAGATTACAAAGAGTACAAAATGTAAATCCAGTCCAGATTCTCAGTTTTCCAGAAGTGGTAGAGAAGGACTGTGATTTATAATAGCTCGTGTGATGTGCCAGTGTGATGTCATCCCATTTCGAGACACTTACAGATGTGTGTTTAACAGGCAAACTCAGGCAGGTATTTGAGTGTAAGTTTGTCCAGTGGATTAAAAACTGCTGTTTCATTGGTAATAGTAAATATGTCAAATGCACAAACTTCCTTTTGCAGCATGAGAGAGAACTGTTCCCTCCACTGCCCTCCTCAAGTTTCCCTAGCTCTTTGCCTTTGCATATTATGCCACTATGGTCCTAATTGTAATTCATTTTCTTTCCCTGTAGGCGTTTTGGGAAAATGCCGCTACGTTTACTACGGAAAACATTCCGAGGGCAACAGATTCATCCGAGATGACCAGCTATAAAACACAGCGTTGCCTTGTGCCTCTTCAATCCATCTCGATAAGAAGCGCAAATTGCATCTAGATTTTGAGCATGTAACTGAAGTCCTCCAGTGCCTTCTGCTGACTTTGCCGAGCCTGTCAAGATCATCCTTCTATCTTAGCCTGAGTAGTCACATAGAGATTGACATGATTGCCTTTAAGCAGGGCCCATCCACCAGCGTGACAGACAGCTGCAGCCAGGCACCCGGCCTGGCAGGATGAGCGCCGTGATGGATGGCCTGGTCCGGCCGCTGCTCGCAGCAGAGCAGGGGTCGCACCTGGGGCTCCTCCGAGCCTGCCCAGCCCGGGGGGCGGGCGGTGGCCAAGCGTTTAGGAAGGAGAGAGGCCGTAATTTCACATGGAAAAGCACCTATCTGCTCTTACTTTCCCCCCCTTGAATTAAGTACTGGTGTTTCTGTCTCACGCGTGCATATGGAAAGCTTTCTTACAGAGCTTCACCCCTCTTTCCTCCTCCCCACCAACAAATGGATCTGTATGGATTTTTTTTTTCTTCCAAAAGGTAAAATATATCCTGCAAATATTTGAGCCATGCACAGTACTATTTGTATTTTTGTTTACATATAAGGGTGTTTAAGCAGCTCTATAGGCAAACCAAATTTTTCTAATTTTAAATTAAGTCTCAAGGTTTGCTTGCCTTCAAGAAAGGGAACATTCTTAATACTGCAGAATAGTTGCACAGAGGACCTCATGCTGTATATGCTTTGAAAAAGCCCTTGTTTACAATCCGATCAGTGTGTGTTATTCCTGCTTTATTGGGCATGATATTTTAATTTTAATGAAGTCCAGAGATTGCATTTAGAATTAAATGCTCACATTTAGAAAGAAAGCCTATAGTTACCCCCACCCCCCATTTTCAAAAGGGGGGGGTGGGGGCTATAAAATGAAATTTCCACCAAGTGTCTATCAACAGGAAAAAAAATGAAAATAGAATTAACTGGTGGAATTAACATAATTAGAACCTTTACTAATATGCTCTGGAAAAGAGCTCTCATTAATCCCCTTTGATGTATATGTAAGCAATGCTTCTGTCAACATTTGAAAATAACACAGCGTAGCATGTTTCCTGCTTTTCTGATAAACAGCTTGGACCTACTAAGAACTTGTTACTGTGAAACGAATTCCCAAGGCTTTATAAATACACTGTGCTCAGTGCTGCTGGATCCAAAGGAATGGGCTAAGAAATGTGCAGAAATTCTGACCTCTGGGCTGTTCCAAACCTCTTCGTATTGGTCGCAGTTGAGGGTGGTCACTGTCTGGGTTTTTTTGGCTTGTCTGAAATTACTGGTTGCTTTAATTCGCTTTCCTAGTCGGGGGGGGAAGGTGATTTTGGTAGAGGTTGTTTACTTTTTTTTGGCTATTATCAGCTAGTGTTGTAGTAAATGGAAAGGAGCTGGATGTAGAAGCCAATCTTGAAATCAGGTTTGTTCTGTAGAAAAAGATGAAACATAGTGGCAGAGTGACAAAGAAAAGCTTCGTGCTGCTGTCCATTTTAGACTTGCTTCCTCTGAAAGTACATAGTAAATATTTAATAAATATTTAAAATTGATGAGGAACATAGAGCAATCTACTTTGCACCACCTATAGAGCAGACCTTATATATTAAGTTCAGATTGAGCTCTGAGCTGCTCATTGAAACAACGCCTGGTGAGTGAGTTTGGCCACTTGCAACACCTCTGGTGTCGTATATGACCACTAATGAAACGATAATGGACCAGTGAGTAAATTCACGTTAGAAATTTAGGAGATATTATATAAATGTGGGAAAAGACAACTATATGCCTCTCTCCTTTCAGAAATACTTATTAGAAATATTAGGGTACTTTTCTATATGGGTTACCAAAATAGCAGCAAGTTGCCATCCTAGTTCATTCATATCATGCTGTCTGTTTTGAAGCCTCAATACATGTTTTGGCCAGGGCATCTTACAGGCAGCAGGGTTCTGGATACGGGTGTTTAGAATAACCTAATGTCATATTCAGTCTGGTTGCATATATGTTCTTGTCTTTATAAAAGGCTTTAACCCTGCCTCAAACAATAAACAGCACTTGCAAACTGACCGCATGATTTTTCCATGTTTATTTTGCTTGTTTACTTTTCCTAATGTCAAAACCATTTGTATCATTTTCAGGAGTGTTTTCCTCTATGCAAGCTTTGGAGGCAAAAATATTTTTGGAAGGAGATATGATCAAAGTCTTTTCCATTTTGTTTTTTTGTTTTCACTTGGGAATACGTATACCTATAGTTAAATGTGGTAAAAACCCTAATTAAAGTTTGCTTAAAGAGAAGTCACACTAAAAGTCACTGATTCTGGATAATCGAAAGGATAATCTAAGAATAATTATTTTTGTACTATTAGAGTATGTTAGAATATTTTATTTAAAAGCTGTCATATATGTTTATTATTGTTTCTGCTAACAACTTTTTTTTAATATGCAGAGCGTTTTGTTTTCAGATTTATTCTGCTGAGGTTCTGTTCTAAGAAAGGATAAACTTTTGGGGACTAGAACTTCTAGCTGATGAGTTTTTCTTCAGTGGAAACTCTGCAGATGAAGAATAGAAGGTGGATGATATTACTGGGAGCTGCTTTCGTGAGAGTAAGGGTTAGTAGGACTGGAAAGTTAACATGCGCATCCCTTTCTAATATGTTTGGTTCTTTAAACAAAACATAAAATAATTGTTAAATGTTCAATTCTCACATCTTTGCAAACAAAAGAACAAAAATTTTATGACGTGAGCAAGAGAAAAAAGTAACCATAAACTTCTGTAAACATCCATAATGTTCACGGTGACTATGTGATGCCAGCTGTTTCTAACAGGCATCTATTCCCAGTGTCTTGAGTCTGTAGTTTCAGCCAGGATGGTGAAGAAGCAGGCACAAACAAGAGTGCAGGATCTCTTTGCACATCTGCTGCTGCTGGTAAATGCTGCAGAGGAAGTTCATAGCAGGTAAATAAGTAAATAGATAGATAGAATTGCATGCCTTGCTATAAAGGAGGCACTTAGAGACATGGTTTAGCAGGCATGGTGGTGGCGGGTTTTTGGTTGGACTTTCATGATTTTGAAGGTCTTTTCCAACCATAATGATTCTATGATATAGGCACTTAACAACTGTAAAATCTTAACTTTCAAAATTGCTGACACTTCTGTGAACTTTTTTTTTTCCTTATATTAATTAGCATTGAGGTAATAATTCCGGGTTCATTTTTTTTAGCATATTACCATATATATTTGCAATGAAGATTGTGTTTATGAAGTTATACCAGAGCTCATGCATTTAACACCATCACTTATTTACACTGCTGTGTTTCACAGGAAAAGACAACCTTTATTATGGTTCTTTACTATAGTATAGTTTGAATTTTCTAGTTTAATAAATAAAATATGTATTTCAGTAAATAAACACTGAAAAAAAAGTTTTGACGAAGAACTCTATCTGTATTGTGTAGGTGTAAAACCAAAGCATGCAGAAGTTGAACAGTTTGTAGAACTGAATGGCCCCAGCACAAAATTCTATGTGCGGTTTATGTGGGTACTTTGGATGAATGATTGATTACCTTTGTGATTCTGGTAATTAGGTTTTGTTTTTTGGGAATTTATTTTTTGGAATACATGTCTCTACTAGAAACTAAACATGAATTAACTGTCTTTTTATAGACCCTGATTTTCTGGCCACTTGTAGCAGAGTAAGAATTGGTGTCTAAAATAATGTAAATATACAGAAACAGACATATATTTGCAAACTCACTTTTTTTTAGGGTTATTATTTGGGACAGAGGAGGATGTTCATCCTTTTGAAAGAGGAAGAAGTTTCATTGACCCTTTTTTCTTGTGATTCTTGTGTGAATTTCTTGTATGAAAGAATTGGATGTCTCTATTTTGCAAAGTATCACCCACCTGGCTTGACATACTTTTTTAGGTTAAAGAATTTTTCAAGGAAGGTAAGTGGCTGCAACCTGTGGGGAAATATAATAGAGATCACCATAAAGGCACCTACTATACTGCGAAGTTCTTCAGCCTGTCTCTGCATTTATGACCATTTACAAAAGATGGCCTGTTACAGCATGTAGCTTGTAGAGCTATTACATCCCAGCAGGCTCAGAACCAAAATTAAGATCCTGTCCTCCAGGACATGTTTGCAGGCTGAGGCAGCAGCTAAGGTTCTAAAATGCTAAGTGATCTTATGGTCTTGGAACATGTTATTGTGTGCTTGAGCACCAGAACTGAGCAAATAGCGTAGGCCCAGCTCCACAGTGTCAGTTCAGGTAAACAGCTGCCAAAATCCCCGTTTTTGTTTGCACCTGGGTAAGAAGTGCGTAATCAGTGCTGATGGGTCACACACTAAGGGAAACCAATACAGAGGATTTTCAAAATTGCTGAATATTTGCTTTATGTTGCTTCCATTGAAGTTATAAAAAAAAGAACAAACCTGCCTATGCTCTTGAAAATCCTCTTTATAAATCATAGGGTTCAGTTGCTGCCAGCGTGTATGTTTATATCTTTATTCCTGCCCATTATAGAGTCATATGGGGAAGGTTTTACCCCCAGCAGGGCTGCCACATTTGTAGTGAGGTTCAGCCCATTTACAGCTGGCCTGGCCTCAGTCTTGCTGCTTATTTCTGCTTGTGTGTTGTCTGGGTGGCATGTGAGTGCCAAGTGTGAAGTCCTTGTCTCTGCCGAACTTGGTGACTTTATTTTCCTTATTTTGTGTAAATCCGTCTATCTATTTGCTCTGTTGAAGGGTGGGCACATGAGAGAGATGAATTTCAGCTGTAAAGGGCTGTAGCCGTGCAGGCAGGCTCCATGTCTGGCGCTAAGTAGCTGCTTGCAGGATCCGACTAGGGAATCAGGCGGAGAAGCAGGTGATGAAGTCGGGTCCTGCCTGCCTTGCCAGCTGCTGTCCTCCGCTCCTGAAGTTCTCTGGCTGTGTCCTTGTCTGCTTCAATTGCCTTGTCACTGCTCTGCGTGCAGTGATGGTACAGCAGAGTTAAGCGTTCCCTTTTTGTTTCTAAAGTGAAATTTCTGCTTCACCGGTTGTGGGATAACAACTGAAATGCACGGCTTGCTTTTTCAGTGCTTGTATATATATATCACCTGATATCCGTTATGTCTCACTGTCTAGTCTGCTTCTGCTGTTTGGACTAAAATCCACTCCTGCTAATGGGAATGAGACAAAGCAAACAAGATATGATTGGGAGAAAAGAGCCACAACGATGCTCG